CATTAGAATTTAACCTTTTCATCTTTTTTTGGCCTGCAAATGGGACATAGTACCTTTAAGGGAGTTACAGGCCTCTTACGCCCTAACAATCTACCAGCTTAAATGTAAACTATCACAACAGCACTGTTTAAACACTGGGGAGAACCTATCACTGAACATGACCTGATTGTCTCTTTGACTGCACAATCTAAACAAAGGGAACAAAACAATGTGTGACTTTAACCAGTCAAACTCACAAAAGGATTGAAACTCATGATGTAAAATATGAAAAGAAAAGAAAAGAAAAGAAAAGAAAAGAAAAGAAATGTCATGCATACATTGTATATCATTTGTACAGACAGGGCTGTTATTTTCTGAATACGCATTGCTCTTTCATTATTGAGGACAATGGAAGTCAAACGGAAAGTTTGAAGCCATGTGATATGGAGAGGTACTTGAGTACATCCTCCAGCCGACATGCATTCCCTGCCAAAATCAGCAACCCTGGGTTAAAAATAATCAACTCTCCGACTATCATAAGGTCACGGCTACAAATTGGCAACACTGTGATTTTTCTTTTATTACTTCAATGTGAACTTCCAACATGAACAGCGTCTGCAGCTCATAAACATCATAACTTTGTTATTTCTTGTCTACTTTTTATTCAAACTTTATTCAAACTTTATTCAAACTTTCATTACTCTGCTTCTCTGATTTTTCTGCTCTCCATCAGAGTAACTTGTACATTAAGGCTGCGTTCAGACATGACGTGGCAAAATCAAAGCAGATTTTTTTTTTAATGATGATGAACCAAATGAAATACAGTGTGTAACACGTACGCTTCACGTTTCTGCATTTTATAACACAGAGCTCAGGAAATATACGCAGCCACAGGACCTTTGCTGTGCATGCAGTTGCCATTCATTATAATACTAATTAAACAAACAAACGCAGCAGTTTACCACGTTACATCTGAACAAACCTCAAGGCCTCAAGGGGGGATTTCCCTTTAAACATGAGTGTACAGTCACCTTGTTCACACTTGATAGTTAACCTGCCTTCAAGATCAAAGACAATAAGTGTTTCCTCTCATTGCTCTTAATGTTAAATAATATGTTCAAATATCAGCAAGCAGGATGCGAACCACTTGTACATGTAAGTCTCTGACTGCTTTCCCTCAAAAATTGCTTATGATTACTTTTAAGAAACCGTCATATCCTAGAATAAAAGCTTAAAATTCCCTTACAGATAGTTCATGAAAAATGTAACAATTGAGAACTAAGATTTTTGTAGGATATGTGAACATATCAAAATCAGGATATCCTGATAGAAAAAAAGCTTTGTCACGGCAATTATGTTTTACAGCAGGCTTTCCTGCAAATTAATTATTACACTTGGATCATCCATTCACATTTTTAGGACTTTTTACATCCCATTTCAAGGAATATTACGCCTTGTTTATATATGCTGCAGTTTATTGCAGTTAGACTGCCTGTAAAAATGTCAAAGCAAATACAATGATACAAGGGCAGTGAAAGTGTGCTTCACACATATACATGTACTAGCAATAAACTGCCTATAAAAAAAAAATCTACAAAAAAACAAGCAAACAAAAACCAAAACAAATTCAAAAAACCTCCCCCCCCCCCCAAGTACAGAAGGGTATATTAGTATATTAATCCATCCATACCCTCTAATACTAATTTCGAGCCAGGAGGGTGCATTGTATATGAACCAACACCCTGCCGACTCCAAACAGATGAATGTCGTAGTGTAAAGGCAACATCGATGAATCTTCCGTGAGAATTAAAAATAATACACAAGATAAAACCACCTGAGCAGGAATCTCTCATCAGACAATGACCTTTGACCTTTGGTATTCAATAACATTTCTTAGAACCCCAAATACAATGACTACTCATACATGTATGGAAGAAAAAAAAAACATGAACCACAAACCACATGGCACGTAATCACTAAAATGAAGATACAATCTGAAAAAATTATATGACATAAATCGTCTTGAGGTACAGTACATATATTTCAAATATCATGTGTCTATCAGGACAAATCGAAAGACAGAGAGGAGAGAGATAAAGAGAGAGAGAGAGGGAGAGAGAGAGAGAGAGAGAGAGAGAGAGAAAGAGACTAAAGAGAGAGAGACAGAGGGAGAAATGTGTGGGGTTTTTTTTTTGGGGGGGGATAGGTCAGAGGAGGACAATGTGGGAAAGTTCCAAAACAAAAACTTAAACAGATCATGAGAATTTTTTCTCTGTTTTTTATAATGATATAGTTTTCTTCTTACAAATATCCTGCAAATATGAAAGGGAATATGGTTGTCAAACTCTGCAGCTGGTTAACAGGAAATACTTGCTTTTCTTGGCAGGGGCTAAAAAAGCTACTGAAGAAGAATGATAACCACTAATTGTATTAACAGGATAATTGGAAAATAAAGACAACAGTGAAGTATTGTCAATGACTGAACTTTCACTTTGTGACATAAACTTGCAATCCAGATTTAAAATCCTTGAAAAGTCTAGAATTAACTGTTTGGAACCACAAGGGCATTAAAGGGCAAGTCATCTCCAAAATAACTTACTTTCAATAGAAGCAGAAAAATCTGACAAACCAATCATAAAAAGTTTGAGCAAAATCGGATTGCTATTAAAAAAGAAGTTATGAATTTTTACTAACATGAAAACTTCTGATTCTTCAAAGCAAATTAATGGATTTAAAATATGTCAAGCAACTGATAAACAGTGAGGCAATGACGTCACCAATTGGCAATTTGTGTAGTGATTTTCAAAGTTCCACAATTTGTCATACTTTAAAAAAATTATAACTTCCTTATCAGTTATCAAATTTTACTCAAATTAGTTTTCCTCTGTTTCTCTTATTTTTGTTGCATCTATTAAAATGCATTTATACATTACTTCAAGTTTAGATCAGTATAGAGAGAAATTTGACCTTTAAAGAAGGTCAATTACTCCTTACATTGGCAGCAAGACAGTGTAATTCACACACTTTTCTGAATACACAATTACAACAGTACAAATATATTTTTCTCATTCATCTGTTTTCAGGAATCAAAGTAAAGGAACAGGAAGTTAAGTAGTTGTTTTCACTCCATGAATTTAAACAGAAAAGTCAAATCCATGAAATGTGCTAGTAAAGGGTAACAAAATATGGAGAACATTTTTAACCAATGTAATATACACCCTGTCAAAACCAGGACTCTTGCCATTTTAGAGTTTAGAAACAATATCAATAACTTCTTTTGGTGTACATGCCTACAAGGAGTAAGTAAATGCAGATGATTTATTTGTATTACGTACATGTATTACACTTCGTTGACATTTAACAAAGAATAAACCCACTTTCTAATGATTCTAAAAATAGCGATGATTACATACATGTATATGGCATTATATGCAATGACAAGAGAGATACATACAACTTTTAGGGCTCTATAAATCTATAATGATCTCAGATATTAATTTCAAATTGATTTACATTATACAGGACTTGACACTGAAAGGGTTCAAGTAACACAGACCACATAGAGATTGTGATAATTTTTAAGTGGTTTTTGAAATACATGTTTGCACTTAAATTTACAAGATTCTTTCATGGCCAAGGCAAATACTGTATTGGATTAATGATAATCAATAGATATAATTAAGAACATCTTTCTTTAATTGTTTCACAAATCACAATGTCTTGGTGAACGGTGTAATGGCCTGAGCTTTTTTTCTTCATTGTTAATCTGAAATGTTTTATCAAACATTGTGATGGCTCTATGATTATACACGTGATGAATGTTCAGAGTTGAGGTGATAGAAATTTTTTGTACATTGTAGCATTTTTTCATTTATTTAAATCAACTTTTAAATTAACTTGTTGATATTCAATTTTTAATCCATCTTATTTTTTGTATATATATTTTTTTCTTCTCCCCCCCCCCCCCCCCTTTATAATGTGCAATATTTTTAATTATGTACTGGGAGTAGCATGTGTGGGGGCACATGCCTCTGGGCAACAGCGATGAACTTAACTTTTGTGCACCCTGACCCACTCGCTGCTCCCTTATCTCTTTGCATGTGTTTGTTCATTCTTTTTATGTACGTGTCTCTTGCCTTGCTGTATTGTATTTGTGCTTTTTTAAGAATGGTTGAACAAATAATAATAATAATAAAATTTAATATTTTAGTAGATGCCACTGCACTACACACAAGGTCTCTTGTGATAATTGTTTTGTATTTGTTATTTTTATTTGGCAAGAGTCGCTTTCAGTTGCATGAACATTTTTTGTTTTTATCAGTTTTGTTTCTACAGTTAAAAATTTCAATGACAACACAGCAATTAATGGACCATAGAAACACAGTTAAGAGAACAAAGAAGACCTTGATCACAGTGAAAGGCAGGATTAATGTTGTTAATTGCAATACAAGTTTCCTGTATCGCCCACGCTTATTCACAGCACCAAGGCTCCACTCCAGCAAAGCAAAGAGTCAATGCTAATGCATATTGACCTCTAGCACTGTATACTTGCTGTGAGGCAGGTATTATACACAAATATACACACCACACAATATTGCATAGACTGCACACAATAGCACCGATTGGGCTGATCGGCAAATTTGACACTAGACTTACAATTTGAATTTTTTAATTATTCTTTTTAACATCAGTAACTTAAAGGAAAAAAATTGTATTTTACTGCTATTTACGTGTCATCAATTGTCACTAAAGAGTAAAGTACCTATTTTTTGTGAAATCCGTGGAGTTTTGTACAGCGGTGTTACAGCTTTTACTACACAGCCAGGATAGTGATGCAGCTATGTGTGCCAAGGCTCCAGCCCAATCCACTGCCCGCCCGAACTCTGGGGGAGACATATCAGCCGCTGGCCTCTCGAATGCTCTACCTATTTCTCGCGCTCTCAGCTCCCCCAAATACTGAAGAATGCTAAAAAATAATCTAAGCTTAACGAAAGTAAAGACTTAAAAGAACGACAACTCACCAAGCAAAGCAAACGTCCGATCCCCATTTTATATTTGACGCCATCTACAACAAAGATCTCGAAACTTGTACCGCGACCCGGTTTCCCTTCTTCAGCATTACACAACTACGACCACCTGCTTTCGAGTACCAGCGCAGCAGTATACATACCGTACCGTACCCTGCCCAGTTACCGCCCCCCTGTTACCAGTGGCTTATTAGACACAACGGCCGTCTTCCATCGCCCGAGTTTCTACGGTGCGCAAGGAAGGCGTGCGACTAACTTGCCTATAGCAGCATACATATGGAAAGCCGTTGGTGACTTTATTCACGTGCCCCAGACGTATGGAACGCGGCACACGTCTGCTAAATTGACCAATCACCGCCTGTTATTTAGCAGGCGCGTGCAAGGTGCGATAGCACACGCCTGTTACTTTGCCAGACGGATGCGCAGAACGCTCGTAAATTGAATTTTAAGGCAACCAATCAAGTCCGCTGTTACAAAGCTGCTCAGCTCAGTACGTACGAGGCCTGTTCGCTATTACAAAACTGCTCATGTCAGTACTGGATGGGGGACACACCCACGGCCAGGCACAGATCCAGGGGGAGGGTCAAAGGGGTCTCCCCCCCCTTCCCCTGCCAAAAAAGAGAGAGAGCTAGAGAGAAAAGGAACAGAAGGGAAGGGGAAAGAGGAGAGAAAGGAAAGAAAGAAGAGGAAAGAAAAGAGGGGGAAAAGAGGGGGGGGGGGCAAACAAAAAGAGAGTAGGAAGGGAAAAGGAAAGAGGAGAGCTAAAGGGAACAAAAAAGGGAGAAGAAAAGAAACAGGTGAAAAGAAAGGGAGGGGGTCAGATGCAATTAATCCAGCCAACAACATGTGGTTCGGGTAGGGGGTGAAAGGCCTTTGCCTTTCCCCCAGCAAACTTTAAAAAGAGAGAAGGAAGGGAAGGGGAAGGGAAAGAGATGAGAAAGGGAAAGAAAAAAAAAAGAGGAAGAAGAAAGGTAGGGGAGATCAGTTTTGATTTTTCCTGCCATCAAGGTGTGAATCGGGGGCAAAAGGCTCTTGTCTCCCCCTCCCCCCTCAGCAAGAGAGAGAGAGAGAGAGAGAGAGAGAGTGAGAGAAAGAAGGGAAGGAGGGAATGGGAAATAGGAGAGAAAGGGAAAGAAAATAAAGAGTAAGAGGAAAAGAAAAGGGGAAAAGATATGGTTTCGCGCTCATCTCGCCTCCTCCAAACGAGACCAAGCACCAGATACGCCACTAGACACCACTAGCGTACTAATTCAAGGGGGCAGCCTCCCCCTTAAGTGGTTTATTTCTAATTCGATTTCAGTGATTTACAAATGTTGTAAAATGACATAATTTTTTAGTAAATTATACTGTTTTATGAGTTAGTTGGAAAATGACGAATTCCGAAAGTTACAGTCAGGCGAGAAATATGCTTATTTTGAGGTCTGCACGTCAAGGCTCGCGGAACATAAATTGGTGTGGAGTCTAGGGGCGGAGCCCCCAGAAGCTCAGGGGCAATGGGCATTCATTACGTTCAGATGAGCAAATTTTGATACCTTATTAATGACACGGGTAGGTCACTAATTGGCGTGGGGTCCAGGGGCTGAGCCCCAGGAAACTCAGGGGCTATCGGGGCATTCATTACGTTTAGATGAGCATATTTTGATACCCCGGAAACTCAGGGGTTTTTAGGCATTTTATAACGGTCAGATAAGCATTCAGGGGCACGCCTTAGGGCCCTTGGTGGGGTCAAGAGGGTGAAGCCTCCGAAATTTCATTTAATTTGATCATATTTTGAGACTTCATTATTTTGTGACACTGGCAGGTAACAATTTATTTTTCTTACTTTCTCCCTACTTCTCTTGAATATACTTTTTCAAAATAGTGGGGGACCCATGCCCCCGAGCCCCGCTGTGCCACGAGCCTTGACATGTAGACCTCTAATAAGCATACCTCTCGCCTGACTGTAACTTTGGGAATTCGTCATTTTCCAACAAACTCATAAAACAGTATAATTTACTAAAAGTTATGTCATTTCACAACATTTGAAAATCACTGAAATCGAATTAGAAATAAACCTCGTTTTATTCTTATTTGGGGGAGTACGCCAGTAGTGTCCAGTGGCGTATATGGCGCTTGGTCTCGCTTGGGGGGGGGGGGGGAGCGCAAAAGCACATCTTTCCCCCTTTTCTTTTCTTCTTCCTCTTTGTTTTATTTCACTTTCTCTCCTCTTTCCCTTCCCCGACCTTCCTTCTTTCTCTCTCTCTCTCTCTTTTTTGCTGAGGGGGGAGGGGAGGCAAGGGCCTTTCGGCCCCGCGATCAACACGTCGTTGGCTGGATTAATTGCAAGTGACCTCCCCTCCTTTTCACCCTTTTCTTTTTCTTCTTTCTCTTTTTTTCTGTCCCTTATAGCTTTCCTCTTTTCCTTTCCCTTCCTCCTCTCTTCCTTTTTTTGAGGGCGAAGGAGGGCTGGAGGGGAAGGCAAGGCCTTTTCCCCCTCCCCCGATCCCCTTCTTTTTCTTTTTTCTTATCTTCTTTTTCTTCTTTCTTTCCTTTCTCTCCTCTTTCCCTTATTTTCCTTAATCTCTCTCTTTTTTGTCGGGGGGGGGCCCTCGCCCCTCCGACGCCTGGTAGCACACACTTTAGCAGTCATGCAGTCAGGTAAAACGAGCACTTGCAAACTATTTTTTTGTTTTAATCTGAGAATGTATACTATTATCTAGATCTGTTAAGAATAAATCATTGTCAAAATCATTCCATAAACTGGGGTAAATAGGCCACCTTTATAACCAACATCGTATTATTATAATTTGATTGCATGGACCTCAGGGAGAACAGCATAAATACTGATGAGGCTACCCCGGGTAAAGAAGACAGTATTATTATTATTTTTTTTTTTTTTTATTATTACACATATCTTAAACATTCAAATATTAAAAACAAACAAAGAACAGAAGTATAAAGAAGAAAAAATAAATAAAAAATGTACAAATGAAGATACTACCATCCAACGCCCCCCCCCCCCATCATCAGTTATTATTTCCAATCAGCGTTAAACAAACACGTATAGTTATGTAAATATATATTTACGCGTACGTAATATATAAACACTATCAATTATTTCAAATATTATAGAACTCAAAAAGTAAATCATATTGGGATTGCATTACCCCGTTGTACGCTACATGACGCGAAAACCTTCAAGGCCCGAGAGTGTCCAAGCTCCCTATCCCCTAACAAGACACAATTTTAAAGTGCCCCCCCCCCCCCCTCTCCGAGCAGTAACTAGGCTTGTAGTCCCGTCAGCTCCGTCTGGTATCCTGAGGTTTTGAGAATTCCAGTGTCATGGACAAACGAAAATCTTGAAAATTTTCATTGGCTAAACTTGTATAGTTTCTGGGTGCCTGGAGATGGTAGATCCATAGATTCTAATAAAAGCTCCGTTCACATATGCCTTCCGGTCACAAAAACCGTATCTTATTTAGCTAAAAATCTTGAAAATCTAAATTCCTTACTTATTTGGAAAAGATATCGTGCAATATTGTATTTTTACGAAAAGCTTGAATATGGTATAACCTAAAGGGTAAATCCACTTTAAAATAATTCGCTTTCAATAGATGCAGAAAAACAAGAGGAGCAGAGCAAAAAAAATGAGTAAAATCGGATAACTAATAAGGAAGTTATGATTTTTTTTTAAATATGAAAAACTATGGAACAATGGAAATCACTACACAAATTGCCAATTTGTTTATCAGTTTGTGACGCCATTGCCTCACTATTTATCAATTGCTTTATATATTTTTATCCCATTAATTCCCCTCTTTATCCCCAAAACTTGATTTCCAAATGCCTTTGCCCAGGTTATATGATTTGTATCGTATTGTGGGCATGACATTTCACAATATCTTTTATAAATTGAAACTATTTTCAGAATATTGTATATTCATAATTATTGACTTTTATATTAATAAATTTTCAGAATTCACATTTTTCATGATTTAACTGAAAACAATTACTCTATATTAGATTATTAGTGCATCCACACAAAAACATTATTATCAATATGACTTGGATGCTGGTGTTAGAAGATGAGATTCTCAGGGGGAAAGTGAGAAATGTATATTACCAATAGAAAGAAAACAATAAGAGGATAGCAAGGCAATGACGTCAGGCGCGGATCCAGGGGAGGCGAGCGGTCCTTGCCCCCCCCCCCCCCCCCGCAAGAGAGAGAGAGAGAGAGAGAGAGAGAGAGAGAGAGAGAGAGAGAATGAAAAGAAGGGAAAGAGGAGAGAAAGGAAAAGAAAGAAGAGGAAGAAGAAAAAAAAAGGAGGGAGGAAGAGATCGGGGTTGAAAGGGCCTTGCCTCCCAGGCTGTTCCCCCTCCCCCCCCCCAAAAAAAAAGAGAGAGAGAGAGAGAGAGAGAGAGAAGGAAGGAAAAGGGAAAGAGGAGCGCTAAAAGGGAACAAAAAGAGGAAGAAGAAAAGAAAAGGGTGAAAAGAAGGGGGAGATCAGTTGCTGTTAATCCCGCCAACAGCGTGCGGAGCGGGATGGGGGCCAAAAGGCCCTTGCCCTCCCCCCCCCCCCTCCCCGGACAACCTAAGAGAGAAAAGGAAGGGAAGGGAAAGGTAAAGAGGAGAGAAAGGGAAAGACAAAAAAAGAGAAAGAAGAAAGGTAGGGGAGATCAGTTGCGATTTTTTCCCGCCAACAAGGTGTAACGGAGGGGGAGGGGGCACTGGTGTACTGATAAGGGGCGGGGGCGGCTTGGTGGAAACGTGGTTTATTTCTAATTCCATAACGGTGGTTTACAAATAATGCTAAAATGACATAATTTTTCCGGGATTTGTCCTCACTTTTTAGTAAATTACCTATATTTTTATATTTTATATTTTATATTTTATATTTTTATATTTTATATTTTTATATTTTATATTTTATATTTTTATATTTTTATATGCGTTTTTTTGGAAAATGATAAATTCCTAAATTTACAGCCAGGCAAGAAATATGCTTCTTGAGGTGCCTACATGTCAGGGCGCGAGGAACGGCGGGGATCGGGAGCCTCGAGCTCCCTCCACACACACTTAACAAAAAGAGTATATTAAAGAGAAATAGAAAGAAAGGGAGCAAGAAAGAAAGAATGGTTAACTGCCAGTGGCACAAAATAATGAGGTATGAAAATGTGCTCATCTGACCGTGATTAAATGCTTATAAAACCCCTAAGCTTTCGGGGGCTCTGCCCCCTGGATTCCACCTAGGGCCCTAAGGC